CAGTGTGTGGGGGGTGAGAGTTCTTGGAAAAAGAATAAAGGACCCATGTGGGCACGGATTTGGCTTTGTCACGGATTGGCTCTGTGACTTTAGGACACACACAGAAGGCCTTTGTCTCTTCCCCCTTGAACGCGAGCTGCTATCTCTCCGGCTTGCACACTGATTTTATGACGTCCAAGCTGTTGTCTGGAATGCTATTCATTCCTGCGATTCTTGCGAAGAATGGAAGTGGTGTACGTGATATTTCTTACAAGTTTATATTTAGAAGCATTTTTTAAAATGAACATGTTGGCGGACTCTTAAGTACTTGGGGCACCACTAGATCCCCTGGTTGTCTTATCCCTGCTGAAGAACACTCAGAGCCCCTCTGATCGAGCACTGGACAAGGTACAACAGCATCAAGGCCAGGACCCAGCCTTCCTGCCTCCTGATACCGAGAGGCAGCAGGACGCGCTGCTTTTCCTGGCTGTCAGAGGATTCATCTAACACATGACTATCTCTTGGAGGGGTTGGGGAGGAAAAAGCACCTGGCAGGCTTTGCACGCCATAGATAAGCCGTAAACGTTCAACTGAATAATTCAGAGCTGGATATTTGGTAATTTGGAGACAATGCCCTAGCAAAGTGTTTTGTGCTGGGTTTTTTTTTTTTTTTCCTCCAGACACCTCTGAGATGTCTGTCTCGCAAGATAGAATCATGTAATGATTATGAAAACCATACTGAATCTCAACTAGACATTCATCAAAACCACTGCTGATTTTTCCCCCTTCCCATTTTGGTAAGGCAAACTGTGGGCAGTGTTGGACACTCTTGAGAAAGGCAGGTATGTGTGTAGCTCCCTTTTTGCATTTACTCACTAGGTGCTGAGGTCTGATATGTTCTACCTTCCCATTGGCCTTCGTGGTGTGGCGCACACTGCATTACAGGAAGCATCTGGAAGCAATTTGCCCCTCCCTCCAACCCACTGAAGTCTGAAATAAAAGATCTCCGGAAATCTTACTTAGGATGAGTGTCTGACACCCAAAGGAGCAGAGGTCCCACTGGGAGCTCGTTGGCTTTGCTGGTTCCAGCTTGTCTGAACAAGCAGTTACGAGCTATCACAGCTGGTCACAGATCTCCCACCTTTAAAAACAGTCAACCCTAAAAATAAGCTTCACGAGCGAGAGGGTAGGAAACAAGTCCTCAGATCAGTAAAAATGGGTTCAGAACAATGCTGACCCTGTGCTTCTCTAGCCCTCCTTTACTAGCTGTGACGGGCCTTCACCACTGTGACAGTGAAACGGCCATTACCACCCTCCCTGTGTGTCTTGGCTTTCGAACTCAGCCCCTGATTGAGACCTAGCCCTCTGAAAAACCTACCTTCTCTATGTGGAAACACGATGCCTGAAAAGAATTTTCCCCAGGGACCTGGCTGCCTCAGTCGGTGGAGCTTGTGACTCTTGATATTGGGGTCATGATTTCGAGCCCCATGTTGGGTCTAGAGATTACTTAAAATAAAAAAAATAAAGAAAATCATAAAAAAAATTCTCACAAGCCTCTGACTCCCAGAATAGCATCAGTTTTAAAATAGAACAGTTTCAGTTTTGTGTTTTCTACCTTTATTACATTTTTGCGTTTGAGATACAAACTAACCACTCTCTTACACCACACAAAAGACATCCATTCTGGTGATTTTAAAGTGCATTTCCCCTTTACCTTTGTGTACAAAAATATTTTTTTCAAAACATGTGGACATTTCTTGACAAGGCACTTTCAGGCATCGGGTGAAGACGAACCTTCGACGAGCCTTCGGTTCTCCATTCACGCTGAAGTAAAAGTGAAACATCGTCCTCACAGGTCCGGCAGGCTCTAGGAACTGATCACCGAAACTGCTGAAACATTCACAGCTTTCCAACCCTACCGAGGAGAAGCCACCCGAAACCACAGACTCCCTGCCCAGTCCCATGTGTCCACTTCGGGAAGTGCGGAGAAGCTGCCAGAGTGTCGTCGAGGCCCCGGGAAAGATCCCATTATGCTTATGACTCTTCATCCCCAGTTTCGGTGATTGGGACCCCCCCAAGAGCAGAGAGCCACGGGGCCTGCTCTGGCAAACCACACCCAGTGGAGGAATTTTTGATGAGGAAACAAATGAATGACAATCAAGGTTTCCGTCCACTGTCCACTGAGAGGGAAGACCTGGAAAACGAGCACTTCTAAAGAATGAACCGACACTTTTTTTGGTTTATAAACATACCCATAACCCACTGAACATTCACGTGACTACAAGTAATGCTTGTTTTTAAAAAAGCAAATTATATGCAAAGATCAAAACCACAAAACATTCTTTTAGCCGTTCGAAATTTACATCTTTAAAAAACACTGAAGAGTCATGTTTTGCCACCATTAAAATGAAACCTTAGAGAAAAAAAAAATAAATTCTATCTTGACTCTGAAACTGTTTTAATTTCTGGAGAACTACAGAACTCCCATTATTTTTCACCACTTCCCCTATCATCAGAATACTTAAAAAAATAAAAAGAAACCCATTCGAATGCTTCTTATCTTCCAAGAAACACTGAAAGCTTATTTATTATGTATTTTTCAAACAGTCCAGCTTATTTATTGCACCTGATTTGCGAATGCTCCCCAGGGCGTTTGGGGGAAATAAATACAAAAGAAATGGAGCTGCTTCCCCATTTCTAGACAAGGGCACCCGCAGTGGGAGGCTCGCCCTTTGGGGGGCCACTTGGAAAGGGCACTGGGGCTGTTGGACATTTGTCACCATCACTGAATCCGGCTGTGTGAGGGGCACTCCCCACCCAAGTCAGGCTGCAGTGACGTCCGTCTGCAACTAAGAAACCGGTCACTGTCTGAAGGGTGTAGACCTATTTACGGATGGCGAGCTCCGAAATGAGGAGGGGTTCTGCAGATCCTGGGACCATCTGTTGATACCCTGGGGCAGAACTGGACCCAAGGAAGAGAGACTGGTGAATAAAAGATAATATTCTTTAGACGCCCCTGCCTCCCTGAACCACGAGGCTGACAGGGAAGTCTCAAAACCACATTGTCTACTCAGAGAAGGGTCTTTGGGGGCAGGTGAGGACTTGCCTGGTAGGGCAGGCATCCCAGGTGCACTGGCAGGGGTTTGCAACCAGTGCCCCCAGCAAAAAAGCTGGGGTGAGCTGGGAGGTAAAGAATGGCAGAGGAGAGGGCTTAGGCCTGTTTTAAGAGCTACTTATTGCTGAATTACCGTATTTCAAATTTTGACCTCGGAATGTCTTAAGATCACCATTACTGAAAACCGAACAGGAACAGGAGTCTCTTGAGCATTTTTCTTTTGAATACAGAACAATCTTGTTACTTTTAGACTGGTAACATGTAAATGACAGTGCACCTTGTAACTTTCTTGACTTGGAGGAGGAGGGACTGGACTTCTGAAAACAAAATAAATTCATGACCTATATAAAATGGCTTGCTTCCATTTGGTTTTAATTTGCACTATCGATCGTTCTGATCCCCAGATTTGCTAACACTGAAAGTACCATTCGTGTACTTGATGTCGGCATGTCTAGATAAAACACAATTCTGCCCAATTTCGGCACGAGATAAAAAGGCAATTTTCCCCATTAATTATGTGATCCCCGAGTCCTACCCATGTGGGAGAGGCATAAAAAATAAAGCACTAGATCGCAGATGAGTAACAGCCAGTTTTAGGAACAAGAATTACATCAGACATCACTTAAAAACATTTAAAAAGTCAAAACATTTCGAAGTTTAAAAAAGAAGGGGAAAAAGAAAAAGAAAAAACCAACCACAAAACTCTAGGAGCCAAGACACTCCATCCCTGCCTGATACTATTGACCAAATCACAGAAGCCAGGAGGCCTTTTCTCATCGATCTGGAATACGCAAGCAAAAGACAACTCTCTGCGTGTAGAGTCCGGTGGCTGTGCCTCCAAATCCAGGCCGCTGTGCCTCCCTCTTCCTGCCTCCTTTAGGAAAATCTCACTTTACTAAGATCAGGCAAATGGAAAAGGAGACATTTAATTAAGCTCCAAAGACAAAACAGGAAAGAAAACAAAAACAAAAACAAAAACCACCCAACCTTCTCCAAATACACATGTAAAAATATTTTTTTAAAACACACCCAAGTACAAACCAATCTCACCCCAGAAAAATCATAGGGTTTGGAGATCCATCTGTCAGTGAATGTCCCAGGAGTCTCACGACAGTATGAACCAACGGACTTTTAATTCATGGTCCAATATGGGTAAGAATAATTAATCTCTGATATTTCAGAGTTGCCACACATTGAAAATAAAATATGAGAACTTGGTGAGGGTTTTCTCCTCTATCCCTTTTATATAGACTCACACACCATAAATAAGAACACCCAAATCAAAGTCCCTGGGTGCTTGCAAAGAGTCCTGGGTCGTGCAGATCACAGTCAAAACCAAACCAAACAACGTGTCCTGAACACAGCATGGAGGAGGGCTCTCGAGGAAAGGACAGTCTAAAATCCCTCCGTGAAGAATGAGGTGACTGCAAACCAGCCGGGCAAGTTCCAACAAATCCTGTAATTGGGCTGTCTGGTGAGGCAGGGTAGGAGTGAGTACTTCGAAAGCTACTTCGAAAGCTCCCCCGAAAGCCAAGAGGAAGAGCTACAGGTGTCCTCCTCTGTCCTGCCTATCAGAAGCCTGCAGTCTGGAGCCCAGCATGGGGGCCAGTTTCTTTCGACAACTGGTATGTCGTTCTCTGCCGGAGCACACGTACGTGGGGTGAGAAAGAGGAAGCACCTGTTTCCGTCACAGGCTAATTTACCTTGATTATCTTTTCCTGAACATCAGATGAACTGTGAGGAAAACAAAATGCAAAAAAAAAAAAGCACAGAGCTGCGGAGTGAAGCAAAGCACGTGTAGACAAGGAACGCCAGCGACAGGTAGGAGGGGCCCGGCTGTGGTGTGGGGGGCGCCCAGAGACCAACAGCAAGGGTCCCGGGGCAGTGGGCTGGGATTGAGTGACTTCCAGGTGACTGTCCACATCCCAGGGGGCAGGGGCGGTTCCTCCAGGCAGCTGGGGCGCACCCCTGGTGGCCTCGTTCTGAAGCCACCATCCCCTAGTGTCGCCGGCAGTACCCACGGGCCTGGTTCCTGCCCAGGCCCAGGCCGGCCCTGCCACCCTGCTCCGACTCTCGTGGCCACCCTGGAAGCCGAGCCGACCAGCACCCCACTGGTACTCCGAGCAGGAAACCAGTCCTGGCACCTAAATCTGGCTGGCTGAGCTGGCATAAGAAGAAAAGTGAACAGGATCCCTTCTTTTCAGAGACTGTGCCTAATGGCAGTTCCGCGTTTCTCCTGGCTTCCGTCTCCACCCGCCCGTGACCGCAGCGAGGCTCCTCTGCACCTGCTCCGCCATGCTCCGGCACACGCAGTGGCTAATAGTAGGGCCCTAGCTTTTCGTATCCTAAATAACTTGGCCACTCCGGAAACAGACCGTAGGAACACCGAGGGCTCCCAAAGTGGTCAAAGGATATTCCAAAATCGGGTCCGTTTTGTGGCTCGGTGGCACCCTGCGTGGATTTCAGCTCGGCTCGGATGATCCTATAGTTTTTGCCTTTGTTGCTGTCCCAGTAGGTCTGTCCACTGCACTCAAAGCACACGGCAAACTCCATCCTCTCGTAAGACTGAATTTTCTCAGGCAAGCTGATGTCAAAGGAGAAGGTGTCCCTGTCCGAGCCGGCGTAAGTGTCCTTCACATACTGACAGGGAAAGTCTGTGAAGCTTTTCCAGGTGTCGAATGTCATTCTTATTTTCACCATCTTCTCAAACGCCAGGTTCTGCACCTTCACTGTGCCTGCGATGGCTTTGTCCTTTAGGACACAGTTTTCAAGGCATACGTGGTCGGTCTGAAGCCGGTTTCTGAAGTCTAAGTAATCAGCGGAAGGCTGGGTGAAATCCAGAACAAAGCTCTCGCTCTCTGCTGTCGTCAAGCTCACAATGTTGTCTAGGAGCTCGGTGATGTTAAAGGGAATATCTAATGGGTCATCGAATTCTGAGAACACTTTGACCATTGTCAGGGCCAGCCCTTGGTTGTCTGCGAAGGACACCCGCTTTTTCACCTTCTTCTCCTGGACCGTGGGGGCCACCATCCCTCCGGCTTCATTCCTGCTGCTTAGCTGAATGCACGGCCTCAGTGGCTCGCTGGGCTTCGGTGAGGTCTTGAAGGTGAACCTCTCTCGGCGCAGGGAAGGGGCCATGCAGCTGTATCTGTACTCTATGTCCACAGCCATCATGGGGTTAGACGAATAGGCTAGAACCCTGGCCAGAGGGGAAGAGAAAGAAATGGCAACGAGATCAGACAGACGTTCAAGGCATCACTGCAACGGGCTGGCAAACCACGTCTGCCTTCGTCTCTGCCCACACAGCTGCAGTCGGGCATTAACTCGAGTGTGGGCCAGCATGACCTTGGTTTCAGGGGAGATTAAGAGTGTCAAGTGCGGGGGGGCGGGGGGAGGATGAAGGTTAAAACACACAAAATAGTAGGGAGTCGCTGGTTTTAAAACTAAATTCACAGGTATTTCTATTAGGATTTCTTGGGGCCCTAAGGAGGCTAGAGTGCCTTGGGGAATAACAAAAAGATGTGCTTTTTTCCCTTTTTTAAAGATTTTATTTATTTGAGATAGAGAGTGAGTGTATAAGCAGGGAGGGGGCAGAGAAGCAGACTCCCCACTGGGCAGGGAGACCAATGTAGGACTCAATCCCAGGACCCTAAGATCCTGACCTGAGCCAAAGGCAGACGCTTAACCGACGGAGACACCCAGGGGCCCCAAAAGAAATGCACTCATCTCACAAATACTGATTGGTATTTATTATATGCCAAGTCTTATGCTAGATAGTGGAATTCAATTGTGAAGACAGACATAATGTACACTAAATTTTTATATGCCAGTATATCTTTCTTTTTAAAAATGCCAATAATTTAGGTTTTTTTAAACCTTTCATATAGGTGGATATTTGTTTTTTCTATAGTGAAGATAACCTCTATAAGAATAAAAGGCAAAGAGAATCCTGCTAAAGATCAGGTTAAATCTGACTTCATAAAAACAAGATTTTTCTGTAAGTGGAAAAAAAAAAGTAAAATCAAAAGATTAAAGACAAACTGGGAAAACATTTTACAGAAAGTATGGCAGGAAAGAGTTAATACCTTCGTATACAAAGAGTCCTTACAAAACAATAACAAAGTCAAATAGCCACATAGAAAAATGAGCAAAGAGCATGAATGGAAAATCATGAAAAAATCTTAAAAATGTCCTAGAAATACACAAAATGTCCAACTTTATAATTAGAGAATTTAGATTAGGAAACAATGCATGTTTTTACCTACTGAGTTAGTAAAGATTTTTAAAAATAATATGAAGGGGCACTTGGGTGGCTCAGTCAGTTAAGTGACTGCGTTTGGCTCAGATCATGATCTCAGGGTCCTGGGATTAAACCCTAGTTGGGCTCCCTGCTTGGCAGGAAGCCTGCTTCTCCGTGTCCCTCTGACCCTCCTCCCTCATTGTGCTCTTTCTCGCTCTCTTAAATAAATAAATAAAATCATAAAAAAAATTTAAAAAATAGTATGAATACATGGATTAGTCTAAATCAGCACCTTTCTAAATATTCGTATCATTTTTGGTTCTAGTATCACATACAGGTATTAATCTTAAGGAGTTAATGCCTGGGGGTTAATGTACTAAAATGTCCAATGCAACATTATAGGGAGGAAAAGGTGAGAAAACCTAAAGAACCAGTAACAAGTATCTGGTTAAATTAGGTATACAACATCCAGCGATAAAATTTTGTATCATTACTAAAACCATTATTTGGAAAAAAGGTTTAAGTGGCATGGAAAAAAGTTATAATATATTGTTAATGTAAAAAATAGAGAAGATAAAATTGTACATAGAGACTAGACTTGTAGGGAAAAGTATTAGGTATATGTACAGAAAAAAGACTAGAGATATACTTAGAACTGTTACAAAATCCAGTGGGGGGGGGCGCCTGGGTGGCTCAGTGGGTTAAGCCTCTGCCTTGGGCTCAGGTCATGATGTTAGGGATCAGGCTGATCCTGGGATCAGCCCGGCATCTAGCTCTCTGCACAGCGGGGAGCCTGCTTCCCCCCTCTCTCTCTGCCTGCCTCTCTGCCTACTTGTGATCTCTGTCTGTCAAATAAAAATCTTCAAAAAAAGAAAATCCAGGTAAAGCCATTTCAGGAAATTTGTTTTCCTGTGTTCTGTTTCTTGTATTTTTAAAAATAACATCACTTCTGTAATCAGGGAGAAAAAAAAGTATCTAATAAAATGCCTCAAATATTTAAGACTTGCCAAAAACCTCTCCCATCCAACACTATTGCCTCACTAAAGCCAAGCCATTTTTCTCATCTAATTACCATAGCAAATTTAATATTCTGATTTGACAGTTACAACGGGCTACCTGAAGAAGTCAGGGACGAAACCAGGATTAAACTCTAGTCTGGGAAACACAGAACACAGGATCTAGATTAGGTCCCAAACCTCTCCCCCCTCACTATGGCAAAGGGTAGGTATGTGGTGGTTTTTTGGGGGTGCCTGCTCGTAGGCCCCCCTAGTTCCTACCCACTGGTGGGGGGCTTCAGGGTAATGGTAGTAGTGAAGGAGAAGCAAAAGGCAAAATGCTGCTCGTCTTCTGCCAGGGGCTAAGTCCACTGGTTCAGTCCAATAAACATCTCATTTTCAACTTCTGATTTTGATTAGCTAAATACATAAAGAACAATAAGAACAAAGACACATTGGATTTGATCCCATTTTCCAAAAGAAATATAATCGTTCCCTAGGATGCAGGGAACCACTTGGTGATGACTGACTGGAAAAACACACATTCAGAGACACAAAACAATAATTTATAGCCACAGTGTACTTATCTAAACATCCACTTTAAAGGACATTTGTCTTACTGTTTCCCCTCTAACAAAATCAATGAGTGAAAATTTTAGGAACAAATTTGCTTTCTATTATCTGTTCTTGTAGCCAGGCAATTGTTCTGCAAAGGAAAAGTTCTCACTGAAATGGGCAACGCAGCTTTACACAGGGTCAGTGGGTTGGCTAATGGGTTCAATGTGAAAAACAAAAAACAAACTACCCTGTAGTTACAAAGTACTTGAGTTTTACAATCCCCCACTGCAAAACTTCGTTAGAATACACTGGAATTATACTTTCAGTCTAATGTTAACACAGGTAGTTGTTTTAAATTTTTTTACATTAAACATGGATTAAAAATAACCCCAAAGTGGGCAAAGCCTTGCATCTCAGCCCCTCCCCCTCTGCCTACCCTTGACAATGTGGGCGTGAACTGAGGGCCTTGAACTGAGGGCAGCTGGGTTCCTCCTCTGACCCTACAGCCCTTCCTCCTTGCCTGAGTCAGCACAAGGTCAACCGTAAGTTCTCCATCCTCTTCTCCATCCCTTCAAGCCTGCAAACCAACCTCAATACGTGCTTTCCCGCACCTCATACGTGCTTCCCCACACATCGTTCAAACAGCTCATTAGAAAAAGGTTGGGAAACTCTCAAGATACTTTGGAAACAGAATTCTAAAACAAGCTGATCAGTGAAAGAATCTGCTCACTTGCAGTTAACTATAGTCACTCTGGGCTTTTAATCTTATGGATGAAAAAGATGTAGTTGAAGACCTTAGCAAAGTTTCACTCTTTGGACCCAGTGTGTGTCCTTTTGGCCCTGAGATCCCTTTTATCACCGGACTGTCAGAACCAGCAGAGCTGGGGGTCGGAAGGTGAGGTTCTGGTCAGTACCAGCTAACTCAACAACTCCACTGGCACTCTCTAGAGCCTCATTGGTTTTGCAACATTCTTCCACAAAAGGCAAAAAGTTCACTACTTGGTGCCGAAGGGTTACCAAGAGGGCTTCAGCCTCAGGGGCACTGCTAAGCAACCACTGCCCAGAATCCCTTCACTATTTAAGTGACGCCGTAACTGGCGGTGAGGACATGAACCCCAGTGGCCTCAATCAGGGTACGATCTGACTGTTGGCCACTTGCCTATCCTCACGGGTAGATTCCAGCTTTGATGAACCAGACCCTTCTACGATAATCAGGGTACCAAATGCTGATTTGATGTGGGCCTTCCTGGCCCTCTGTTCAGGAATTTCCCAGTGGGCTGGGACAGGGATCATCATCCCCCAGAAGCACTCCTAGCAATGGAGATGGACAAGGTTAAGTCTCCAAAGTCTCTGAAAGGAAGGCACCTGGACAGGTGTTTTGTCCAAAAAATGACATAAAAATGATCAGTGCCAACACGGTGTGCATAGGCTGCACCTCAGGCCTCCCTCTCCTGACACGTTCTCCTGGCTGCTCAGCCGTTTCCCAGGCGGAGAAATATGAGTCACCAAGGTTGGCCAGGGAAAAAGCCAGAAGGAGAAGACACGGACCCGTATTTGAACCAGCACAGTATGACGCAGGATTTGATAGCGGTTCGCTGCACGACAAGGTCCTGAGAGTATGAGTGAGTGTTATTCAGAGTCTCAAAAACTTGACTTCCAAATAGATGCCTAAGAGATCATTTTTGCCCCTGGGAGAATGGGGCACGCCTAACGGTGAATTTCAGTTTTCCTGGTCAGAAGAGGCCAAACCCTAGCACTCCATGAAAATTGAAGCAAACACACTCCATGAAAATTGAAGCAAACAGGGATAGTTTTGCAAAATACTTTCCCTGTTCCACTAGCGACAAACAACGCACCTTCTCAAGACAGCTTGTCAGGTTATGGTGGTGTTTCTGGAGAAACAATAAACTTGTACAGAAAATCAGCACACGGCCTTCACAGTTTCAGGCAGTGGAGCTATTATTGGCTTTGGGCTGTGCCTTTTACAGGAAGTAAATCTTTTTTTGGTATCGAGTCCAAGACATTCCTCCCCTCCATTCTCATACTCTCATAGGAAAAGACAGAAAAATCAGACGCACCAAGAACCCACCAGGAACACCAGAACGACATGAGGTAAGCATTCACCCAGATAACCAGGTTATACTTTTTTTTTTCTCCCCAGGTTATACTTTTTAACAGACCTGTCCATCCACACTTTGGCATTGCTTTACTCCCTCCCAAAAGGTTTGGCTGACGCAGTATAAATAAAGTTGACTTTTTTTTTTCTCTTTTTTTTTTAGAGAGAGAGAGAGATCACAAGTAGACAGAGCAGCAGGCAGAGAGAGAAGGAGAAACAGGCTCCCCACCAAGCAGAGAGCCTGATGCGGGGCTCGATCTCAGGACCCGGGTCTCATGACCCGAGCGGAAGGCAGAGGCTTAACCCACTGAGCCACCCAGGTGCCCCAAAGTTGACATGTTTTCCTCTGTCCTCTGACCACTGGGGCCTTTATTCATAGCCTTAAAATTCACTTGCGCTCTTCTGTTCTGTCACCACCACCATCTAAAGCATCTGAGATACACACACATGCACACACACACACACACTGCTTATTACAGTACCTGCCATGGAACAATGCCCAACACGTAACACACAGCACTAGCCTAGGAAGGCCTCCCCCTAGCTGTGCCACTTGGATCAAGTCACTGACTGAACCTTTCTGGGCTTAGGCCTTCTCCTCCGAAGTCCCTTCTAGCTCCGACCCGGGGTTGCCAATAATGCCCACTAACTTCTTTTCTTCCCTCTCACTTCTCCTTAAATACCTCTACTTTACTTTTGTGGGGAGTCCACTGGCTGTCTTCACTTTAGTCTTGGCTGCTGGACAACCCCACCATACGAACCATTTCCTCTTCTCCCCACCCCTGCTCAAAGCCCTAACTTCTCTTCTCCCAGACCCTGAGTCTCCCAGGGAGGCCTGGCCACACAGACCACAGGCTCCCTCACCTTCCGGCAACTCTCCAAGTCTTCAAGTCAAGTCTGTCCTAAGTTTTCTCCTCTTCTGCAGTAAACAATACCCGGGGGGCTCCAACTCTTCTGGTATGTCGTTTCAGGCCCTATACCCTCTCTCTGGCTAGCAAGTCCCCTCCACACCCACTTTTCTGGTTCAAAAAGAGTGGCATGAACAGGGCACGGGGTGGGGTGGGGGCAGGAGGCCGGCCCGGGTTTCCAGATTTGGAAGATCGCACAGGTCAATGCGACCCTGACCCCCTCGGTCCAACCAGCCTGCACCCCGCCCCCCACGCACTCCGTGAGCTCCGTGAGCCCCCTGAGCCTTGTCCGCACCCACCTTTTGGGCCGTGGGGAAGCCCCCTCTCCAGCTGGCTCGCTGCATCGGAGAGCCTGGAGGGAGGTGGCAGGGGAAGCTCCTGCCACCGGACTACGTGAGCGTCGTGTGTCCGGGAGGCAGGGCTGGCGCTCCGTTCCGGGAGACACGACCCGCAGGGGGAGGAGAACAAGGAGGAGGAGCCCAAGTTATCACACCGGGGCGGGGCGGCAGGGCAACCCCGGTCGAAGCCGCGCCGCGCGAGCGTCCCCGCGCGGCAGCTTCGGCCCCGCCGGCCCGGGACAGCCCCTGCCTGGGGACCGGAGACCGCGAACCGGGGCGGGCTCTGTACCCCATCGCCCTCGGCGACCTGAGAGACTCCCAAGTGTATTTCCTTGCGTATTACGGGGAACCCAAGACCAGGGGAAAGTCGAGGCTACTTTTCCTTGTACTCCAGGCCCCACCGCCCAACTTCGGGGACACCCTCGGGGAGTGTCGGGTCCCAGGCGGGAAGCGCCTTGTCTCAGGTTCGAACTCGGTACAATAGTCTCAGACCCAGCCACCGCCAACTACCCCTGGCGGCCAGACCCGCACTAAAGCGGAACACGTGGGTCCAGCCAGGCTCCATCCCACCCTTGGTCCCTGGGTTGCTCTTCCCACCTGGAAGCAACCGCCTCCCCAGCCCCGTCTAGTGTGGTCCACCCCCGGAGTGCAACTGCAAGTTGGGCGGTGAACGTGCAGGTGACAGGAGTCAAAGAAGGTCTCCACTGCGCGCCCCTCGCCGCCGTTTCTCGGCCCTGCACTGGGACTCGAGGGCTTGGGGAGGGACGTACCTGGTGCAGCTCATAAGCCCTGATGCCCAGAGGCGCCAGCCCACGGCAGCATCCGCGCGGGAGTAGCAGGGGCAGCGGCGGCGACGGCCGGAGCAGGGGCCGGGACTCAGGTCCGCGCCCTTGGCGGGCAGACGCATCCGTCCGTGCGTGAGAGCAGCCCGCTCGCCTCCTGCCCGCGGCGGGACACCCAGACTCAGGCTCCCAGGCCCCGCGCTGCTCCCTTTAACTTTCCAGCACCTCTCCCCACTTGGGAAGCCATCCCGGAACCCCTTCCACGTGAACGCCCCCCGCGGCCAATGGGCGCGCTCGGGACGCGAGCCGTCGACCAATGGCCACGGAGCCGCGGTCTTGGATAGCATCGCTTCGCCACGTGATTGGCTGTGCGCCGGGAGTGATAGGGCTGCGGTCCAGGGGCTGGGGAGGGGGCAGTGGGGTCACTGTTTCATCAGACGCGTGGGGCTGGGCGCCAAGGGACAGAGGCACTTTCCTACAGAAGAGCGTCCCGTTACAGCAAGAAGGCTGGCACGCGGGCAGCTTGCCAAATGCCCTCTTCCCAAGCAAAGTCCTGGCCGGTCAAAGCCTTCCCACAGGCCCAGTAGGAGTTGCGGTTGCATCCGCACTGTCCAGCTGTCCACCTTCGTCGTGCGCTTTAGCCAGGGGCTTCACGCATGACCGTTAATTTCCCCATCATATGCCAATCCCAGAGAGGCCGCTGGAGAATGCCAAGTGCTGTTTGCCTCCGTGTTAGGTGGAGGCTCTCTGGGATGCGTAGCTCCAGCTCTAATGATAGTGTCCAAAATAAGTAATTACTGACGCTGGCTTTGTGCTCGTCAGGGTTCCAGGTGTTACTGTGAAAGCCATACAGTAACCTGGTCTTATAAAGTTGTTACGGGGAAGGGGGGTGGAGCGCGGCTGGGTGACTCAGTCGGTTAGCCTCTGCCTTTGGCTCAGATCATGACCCCAGGGTCCTGGGATGGAGGCCCCCCCCCCCCCATGGGGTCTCTGCCCAGCCAGGGCCCCTCCTCCCCCCCCCCCCCCCCCCCCCCCCCCCCTTGTGCTCTCTCACTCTCGCTCTCTCTCAAATAAATAAACAAGTAAGTAAAACCTTAAAAAAAAAAAAGCTGTTACTGGGGCCATCACACAGAGTACCACATATTTAGGTATATAGGTATATTTCAGAGGAAATTACCTGACTTGAATCTGCCACAACTACCTGTACCTGCAGGGCCCCTACGATCTCTGTGATACACCTTGAGGTCTGTAGAGAATGATAAACCCAAAAGAGACCAGCTCCTCCCTCTCAGATGAGATCAGTTTAAATACATATTCACATAATCATATATCAATCCCCTTGGTGCTCATCTCTGAGCTAGTCACTTTAGGGATGAGCATCCTAGTTTTCTAGTTTTTTTTTTTTAAGGTTTTATTTATTTGTTTGACACAGAGAGAGATCACAAGTAGGGAGAAAGGCAGGCAGAGAGAGTGGGAAGCAGGCTCCCTGCTGAGCAGAGAGCTCAATATGGGGCTCCATCCCAGGACCATGAGATCATAACCTGAGTGGAAGGCAGAGGCTTAACCCACTGAGCCATCCAGGTGCCCTTAGTTTTCTAGTTTTAATGAATTTTGAAAATCGACAGAGGGTTGCCAGCTTGTTAAAGTGCCAAGATGTTAAAATTACCATCTTCTGTTACCAACATTTTATGTTTTAAAAAATATTCTTTAGCAAATATAAAAACAAAGTAATGAACATAATTCAGAGTAAAGGCCATTCCTTCACATTGGATATATTTAGCTTTAGGACAATTCATTATGTTGAACATGGCATTTGGGATTTTCTGCTTTTCAGGGTTATGAAAGCAAATTCTAATTTTACTAGAAATGTAAAACTAAAACACTGGTAGGTTGCCTTGATCCAATACAGGCCTTCAGCTCACGACACCGTCTCCCTGTCTGAGGGGGCAATTATTAGTTCTCTTCCTTCTCTTTTGATGGGAATATCTGATAAGGACCACCTCTGAAATCAGCTATTGGTAGGCGGTTGGCAAATAAGGTTTCTATTCAGTATTCCATTTGCCAACTCTAAACCCCTTTTATTAGCTGATGAGTAGGTTGGTTTTTGAAGCCAAGTGTTGGCTACATTTCTCAAGCGTGGTGAGCATGCTAGAGGAGTGGGCAAAGACGGAGAGCCAACTGGTATTGCAAAATGAATTCAGGCAAAGGGTGATCTGAACCAAACCAGGAAGGAGTTGGGGCAAGTAAATACGACCTTATAACATTAAGGTTTGGAAGCATCTTCCTTACATAGATCTAGGAAACCATGGGTAATCATTTCCCCCTGTGGTTCAGAGACTATTTCAGAGCAGAAGAGCAGTGCTAAACTTAGTTGTGGCTCACCACAGTCTTGGTAGGCAGGAGTGTGGCGTCTGTGAGTTTGAAGCAAGCACAATCTCCTTAGCAATCAGAGTAGAGCTGGGATGTGAGGTCTGGAGGACGGTTCCAGCTGAACTCGGCAGGTCCAACCAAGGCCCTGGAACCTGAGATCTGGACTGGCCCTTCGTTCTATACGATCTTGCTTTACCCTCATTTTTAGCAGGAAAAAAAGTAAAAACTTAAAGTGTCAACCTTTCAGTCAACGCATACCAAGTCCCTTTTATAATATCTGGCATTGAATTTAAGTCTTAATTTCATCTAGTAAGCCAACCCTCCCCACACAAATAAACCAAAAGCCCAGCAGAAGCTAAGCAAAGCTAATTATCGTTTTCCCATAAACTTTGTTTTTGGTGGCTATAAGTGGCTGTTTGGTGGCCATCTTCCTTGAACTTGGGCTTATCTGTGACTTTTTCAATCCTCTCCTATACATTTGTTTATTCATTTAACAACACATTGTTGAGTAACTACTGTAAACTGGGGTCCTGAAAGTGGAAAATCAGTGAAATATAATCTCACTCTCAAGAAGCTCTTAGGTTAATAAGTAACGACATAGGATAAATGTGTAGAAGGTAATCCTCTGTAATTTGGGAGCCAAGAGGGGGACTGCGCATGTGTGGTCGCGGAGGTGGGGTGAGAAATGAAGGTCAGCTGAGGCTTCTAGGGAAGTGAGCATTGAGCGGGATCCTGAAGGGGGAGTCAGAGTTTAGGGGTGATGGGAGAAAGCATGGCAAGAATTGGCAAAGGAGCAGAGTTCTATATGTCCCTCCAAAGAATTTCCACTCTACTGATTATGAATTAAGTCTTTTTTCTGGCTTAAATATTAGACAGTGTTTCTTTATGCATGTGTTAACACCAGCTTTTTGTTCCTCCAGAAAGTTCGAAAAAAATACTATTAATATCTTCTCTCTTTCTCAACTGAACACACTTCAAAAACAGCCCAGACTTTGGTCTTAACTTCATTCTAGATTTTGAAAGAGAAAATTTTTTTTTCTTCTTAGCGTTCTAACTTTCCTTCTCTTTGAAGAACAATTATTTCACAGTGCGTCTAAGTATAAATAACCAGCATCAAGAGTCAGAACTAAAGAAGAGAACATTCTTCTGCCTGATCAGAATAGAAAGTGGGGAAGACTGTTTCCAAACTGCCTAAGTGAATTTATATTTAGACAAGTGGAGTTGTTTGCACCTGTCAGAGCTTTAGACATGTTCTGGGCGCCTTATGTTACCTGGGGCCCTCTGCCCCTCTTCCAGATTTGGCTGAAAATGACTTGCCAGGTCACGTTTTAGGGGATAGGCATATGCATACTAATGGAGGGTGTTCATGAGCCTCTTGTCTATGGAGAACATGTCCTTGGCTTGGGAGAAGACCTTGAGTAGTTTACACATCAAAGCTCCTGGAGCCCATTAGGACATTTTCCCCACTGTTGAGGGCTTTTGAGTTCCCGAGTGAGGTTACTGTACCACTTCTTAATTTATTTTATTATTTTGTTTTTCTTCCAAATTTTTATTTAAATTCTAGTGAGTTAACATATAGTGTAATACTGGTTTCAAGAGTAGAATTTAGTGATTCATCACCTACGCTTAACACCCAGTGCTCATCACTACAAGTGCCTTGCTTAATAATCCCCATCCCCCATGTAGCCCATCCCCCTCCCACCCTCAGTTTGTTCTCTGTCCTTAAGAGTCTCTTTCGTCGTACCACTACTCTAAAAGCTACATATGTAGAGAAGCTTCCACGGCTTCATACCTCCTGCACCGATACAATACCTTATTAATTTTTATGATTATAAAACTAATACAAGATCACTGTAGACATTGTGGAAAATACAAAAAATATATAAAAAAGAAAATAGATTTAGCACCACCCAGCAATAATGACCAATATAATTCATCATCTTTCTTTCAGTATTGATTCAATACATAGGATTATATTATCAGGCTCATAGTAGAAGACAGTATAATGTCTTCATTTTTTTACTCATGACTACTTCTCCCTTTGAGTATATTAATATTGTCATATTTTTTCTGACATGCTTTTCAATTGCTGCATAATATTCTTTCATACAAAGATCATACTTTAACTATGTTCTTATTTTGGGACACTTAGATTTTTTCCTCCCCCTCAATTTTCTCTGTTTTTAATAGACTTTGATAAGCATCTTTGTGTTTAAATCTTTGTCCACATCCCTGGTTATTTCCTATAGCCCTATTTCCCAGAGTACAGACCATGAGTACAGACATTCTTTAGACTTGATTTATATTGCCAAATTGTTTTCAGAAAGAGCAGTGTTGATTTTTCATTCCCACTATTGGGGAAAAATGAGAATTAAATAATCCTAATAAGGTCTTGGTTTGTGGATTTGGGGGCAAATTACA